CCGGGCATGGCGTCGAGGATGGAGTGGATCAGGGGGGTCTCCATGGGGCAGCAGATGCCCGCGGCAAACACGCGCGTGGTCTGCAGCAGAGGCGTCTCCACACCGCCGGCCTCCACCGCCAGCACGCCCCGGCTGCCGCCGCCAACCGACGCGTCCTCGTGCAGCAGCAGGCCGGCCCGCTCCTGGGCCGTGGCCTGGGAGGTGCGCCTGCGGGGAGGTGCGGCGGCGGGGGTGGTGGGCAGCGGAGGGGCGGCGGGGCGGTGCAGGGGGCGGAAGGCAGCCCGAGGCCTGCCTGCCTGCGCCGGCAGATGGCCATTGTTTGAGCTCGGGGCGACGGCCGCTTGCTGCGGGAGGAGGCGCCGGGCCCACCTGTGCTTGAGCGTGGAGGCGAGGCCGTGGCTGACCACAATTGGGCCGGTGCAGCAGCCGTGGGGGCAGCAGCTGTCGCTGACATGGTGCAGCTCGTCGTTCACCTGCAGGCAGGCACCGCAGGGGCGGAGAGGAGCTGCGTTCAGGTGGCGGTACTGGATTTCCGGTCGCCGCCGCCGCCGGGCCCGGCTGCCGTGGGGAGCGCGCAGGGCCTCGGTGCTCCCCAGCAGCGGTGCTGCGGCATTGGGCAAGGCGCCCTGCAGGCGGGAGCGCGCGGAAGACAAAACGCGCACCAGGAAGTCGTGGTGGTCGCCGTGCTCCACCGCCGGGTGTCCACAGCCGTCTCCATGGATGTGTCCGTTCAAATCCAGCGCATTGGTGGCCACCGCGCACAGGAAGGAGGCGTGCATCGCGCCAAAGCTCCAGGGCCGCAGGGAGGGGCGCAGGCAGCACAGGGAGACGCACACGGACCTGTCGATGCAAACCGAGCGCAAGAGGGTCGCCTGCGGGGGAGATGAAGGGAGATGCGCCCTGTCACCGCCCCGCTGGCTGGATCTCCTGCTTGGCGCGCCATTGCGGCCTGCGGCTCCTCAAAGATGACCTGCCCTTCAATGCCTTCGATGCCCAAGTTTACAGATGGGGCTGTTTTTCCCAAAAACACTGGGAATGTGCAGGGGTCAATGTCAAGGTGATAGGCCAGGCCCCTCGAGCCGCTCCTGCCGCACAGGATGCTGGTGCCCATGCAAGGTCTATTTACTCCAGCTACGTCTCTAGATGAACCACATACTCGGTCAGTCGCTGCAGGCTGCGCTGTGCGACGGCCTCCCCCGCCCGCACCGTCGGCGCCGCCTGCTTCACCTCCACCACCCCGTCCGCAACCTCCCAGCCCTTGCTCGCCGCCGCTGCAAGACGGGCATGGGGGGACAGGTAGCGACAACGTTGGAACGCGAATAAGGAGTGAGCGGCAGGTTGCCTTCACAAATTTAAACAGGAAACGGCGAGCACTTGCAGCACGCGTCCACGGCAGGAGGACACAGCGGCAGCAGCGGCAGCGCTGGCTCCAGCGCCGGCGCGCTCACCCTGCGCCGCCTCGGCCTCGCCGCACCCCAGCAGCGCCGCCAGCTTGCCCAGGCTGATGTTGGCGTAGGCTCGCCCCACCAGCTCCACCATCTGCCCCCGCCTCTTCTCCGCTATCGCCGCCACCAGCGGCTGCGCCTGCGGGCTCCAGCCAAACTGCGGGCGTGGGGAGACGCGGCAGGGGCGGTCAGCGAGCGGGGCAATGGCGGGGCGAATGGCGGGGCAGGGTGTGAGAGGATGCCTGGGGGTATGAAAACGCCATGTAAATGACACCTGGCTGCTCCCCGCTGCAGGCTACCCTGGGGAACCAGCCGCAGCTGGGCAGCAGCGAGCCCCACCTGCAGCGCGGTCCACACATGCTGATAGTCTTTGACCCACATCCGCTGCAGCAGCCCAAACGCCGCCTGCAGCTCCGGGCTGCCCTGCTTGATGTTGTCCGGCGTGCGCTTGTACAGGAACCGGGCATCCTCTCTGCGGGCGGCCAGGGCAGGGCAGGAGCGACGGGACACGCGTCGGAAGCGAGAGCGAGGGTCGAAAAGCAGCACGGGACTGGGGCTGGCAGGAGAGGTGTCTGCTGGTGCAGCCTGCAGCGAGCTCACAAGCATGCCCTTACACCCCAGCAAGCCCCATGACATGCTCCGGTGACACGTTCCGATGCTGGTGTGAAGCAAACAGGCGGCGACGGCGGCGGGGCGGCAGTGGCGGTGGGCGGCGCTTACAGGTTGGCGGCATAGATGTGCGCCAGCAGGTGCAGCGCGTGGGGCCATTGCTCCGAGGATAGCGCCGATGGAACCTGCAGCGGCACAGTGGGCGGGGCTGTGCGCCAGGAGACAGGGGGGCCTGCGGCGCGACTGATCGGGCCCATGCGCCGCGATCACCGCTTGTAACCTCCCTCCTCACCTCCAACTCTGCGTTGTCTAATGCTGTGGCCACCTCGCCAAAGCGCCGCTGCTCCAAAAGCTGGGCCACCGAAGCTAGGCTGGCCTGCATGGTGCCTGGGTGCCGTGGGAGCGATGTGGGGTCGTGCAATGTAAATAGAACGGCCCAAAGGCGCAATGCAACATCGCTAGGCCAAGGGGCAGGCGCAGCATGGACAGCATAGACCAAACATTTCTCTCTGGCGGGGCCTTCCCGCTGCGTCTGACTGATCCCCCTCCACTTTACATCTCTTGTATATGTACCGGAGCATGTTGGGGCTTGGTGCCATGCCGCCTGCAGGGCGCTGGCGTTAACCCCGCCTGCCTGCCATCTCCCTTGCCGTAAGCATCTCCTGCCATCCCTTGAACATCATCACAGCAGGATGTCGACTCCCGGGGGATCGGCAGGGCCCAGCAGGCGCTCGCAGCGGTCGATCCATCGTGGGGCAGGAGGGCCCTCTATCTATACCAGCCAGCTGATCCGATACAACGTGACTGACGTCAGGGGTCAGCCGGTCAGCGATAGAGAGTTACTGAGGAGCGGCACCAGCGCCCTAGCGCCCAGCGGCGGCAGCAGGAAGCGGCCTTACCTCGGCAGCAGCGCCGCACGACAGCAACTTGGCTCCAGGCCAGTCAGCAGGCAGCGCTCCCAGGTGGCCGTACCAGGCAGCAGCGGCGCCCGTTGCAGAGCAGCCGCACAGCGACAGCGCTACTGTGTCGCTGCCGCCCAGACCCGCCAAGCAGCCCCGCCTGACAGGCGGCAACGGCGCTGGCCGGCGCACAGCGGTGGCTGGTACCGCGGCGGCAGCACCACCCAACGGCCGTGTTCGCGGCGGCCCTGCTGCAGCGGCGACCCACAGCAGCGATACCATCAGCGTTGAGACCGCATCCAGCTTCAGCAGTGGCGCAACCAGCAGCCCCAGCAGGGGCAGCACGGGCACCGAATCCGAGCCTGCGCCTGCCCTGGTCCCGACGCCCCTCTCAGCCAGCGAGCCGGCAGCAGCAGGCGTGGGGCAGGGACTGGCGGAGCAGCCAGCGCAGCGCCTGGAGCAGGCGCTGCGGCCCGGCCCGGAGCACGGCGCAGATGAGGGTCTTCAGGATGACTCGTTCCTTCCCCCATGGGACGCGAATGAGCCGTCCCTGGGCAGCGGCGGCGCCCAGCTGGCTGCCGCCAGCGGCCATTCATCTGGATGCGTGGAGGGCGGGGACGGGCCTGCCGGTGAGGAAACCAGCGCACGCAGCGGCGGGAGCGGCGCCACCAGCGGCAGCTGCGGCTCGGGACCAGCAAGGTCCAGGGGACGGCGTGCGGCGGTGCGGCGCAGCGGCCAGCGGCGCGGCCTCGGCGCCGCGTCACAAGCTGCGGCTGGGCAGGCGGGGGCCTCTGCTGAGGATGAGGAGGAGGAGGGTGACGACTCTGATCCGCTGGTCAATCAACGGGACTGGAAGCTGGAAGCGTTTGGGGAGGACACCAGCAGGTGGGCGGGTGCGGCAGCAGCTGCTGCTGCAGGCCCCCACGTGGCTGCCCACTTCCACAGCGGGCTGGCAGCAGCGCCGGCTGGGGAGGGCGCTGGGTGCATGCAGGTATCCCTGCTGCCGGCCACCCATGCCCTGCCCGCGTCTGCCGCCCCGCCCGCCCCCGCCTCCGCTCCTGGGCTGTGCTGCAGCCAGGGGCGCATCATCCGGGAGCAGCTGCGGCGAGTGGGCCACAGGGGCATGCTCATGTGGCGGTCTGTGAAGTTTTTGGAGAGCCCAGACGACTCCACACGCTTTGTCACCTACAGGTACTGCCCAGATGTACCGACGGAATGTACTGCTGCAATGCACCGCCGCGACGTGTCCGCCGGGCGTTCAGCAGCGTGCCTCGGGCATGCCACCCCGCCTCCCCTCTCCTGCCACTTGCCCACAGCCTATGACGGCACTCCCGCCTGGTTCCCCGCCACCCCACACCCACCACGGCCTTCGTATACACCCGCCGCCGGCCTGCTGTGCAGCGTGGGGGACAGTGTGGTGCTGCCCTGGGAGCGGGAGCACGATCGGCGCGAGCCAGTGGCCCCTGCTGTCATCCTGGCCTTTGTGCAGGTGGGTGGGCCGCTGGGCTGCCTGGGGAGCGCGCCGCCGCCAGTAGGCCCCCCTCAATCGCGCTGGCCCTGTCGCTGCCACATGCTGGCCCCCACACACACCTTGCCGTCCCCACCTTGCGTGTCTGCCCCCCACCCAGCACCGTCATCAGTCCGCTGCTCTCCCCACCCCCCTCTTCTGGCTGCCGCAGCGGGCGGATGGGTTGGTGGTGACGGCGCTGCGCTGGGCCGACTTCTGGGAAGATATTGTGGGCAAGCCGGATGATCCGGTGCCCATCCCAGACGGTGGGTGGCTGGCCTGGCCGTGGACGGCTGCTGGGTCCATGCACACGTGCGCCCGCTGGGATACCTTGACGCACCATTTCGGCACAAGAAACGAGGCAAAACCCGCACAGGTCGCTGGGCTCCTGGCGCGCACCTCCACCCTGCCCATGCTGGTTCGGCGCCTCCCTTGCTTGCAGACGAGGCGCTGCGCGGCCAGAACCGCATCTTCATCCACAAGGTGGACCTTGCAAACCGTGAGTGCAGCCGCGCAGCGCCGCACTCTGTGCCCGAGGCGGCGCCCTCCCCGGCTGCCTGGAGCATGGCATGTGGCACAGCATGCAGCGTCCTGGGCGCAGCACCCAGATGCTGGCTATGCTGGCTATGGCTGGCTGGCTGGCTGGCTGGCTTTGCGCATATGGCGCTGCATCAGCAGCACGTTCCCACGTTGCTCATCGCTGCCACCGGGCTGACAGCAACAGCATTCTGCTGACGCAGCCCTTCTTGCCTGCCACATGCAGCGGACCATCTGCGCTTCATGTACAATGAAGGCACGCCTGCGTACATCATCCAAGGCCACTGCAAGTGAGCACTGCGCTGGTGGTGGCAGTCGGTGCCGCCGCGGCCGCGCCCTGCACCGTGCGCCCCTCGCCACGCTGCCGGCGCATGGGCTGCGCTGCTAAACAGCTTGTGAGGCCGCCCGCCGCACAGCCTGGCGCCTGCCGCACTATTGCACCGTGTTGTGCAGGATGATGCACAGGGCTGATGTGGAAGAGGCGTATGGCAGCGTTGAGGAGTATGAAAAGCAGGAGGGTGAGCCCGGGGACTGCCTCGCCACAGTGGTGTTTGCAGCGGCTTGCCACCTGCTGGTGTTGGTGCTGGTGGCGCCTGTGGCTGTGTCAGGGCCTGTGCCTGCGGCCGGCCCTCGTTGGACTGCTCAAAACCTGCCTGATCAATGCTTTCTCCAGGCCCGTACGCGTTTTGGTATGACCAGCAGCGCCCGCTGCGCACGCTGAGATTTGAGGCTGCGCCACGGCCAGGGCACACACTCCAGTTCAAGCGCCTCCAGCGTGAGCCTGTCACAGCTTTGTGGATGTGTGTGGTGCAGATGTGTGGGTGCCGCTAGCAGGCAGCCTGGGCCAGCACGCTATTGAAATAGCTGCCCTGCATTCATCTACCTCTGAAGCCGATGAGTTGGGGATGGTGGACGTGTTTGGCGGCGCGGGCTGCGTGTCCCTGGGCTTCAAGAAGGCCGGGTTCCAGGTTTACTGCTGCTGCATGCCGCAAGCTGCTGCAGCATGCCACGCGCAGCGCTAGCCCAGGCTGAGCTGGGGTGTGGCTGCCTGAGCATGCTGGGCCTCGCGCTGCACTTGGCATGCCGCACCGCCCGCCCTGGAAGGCGGCATGCCGCTGATTCGCACCCACAAGCCGTGCGCGCCTGTGGGTTGCAGTGGGTGTTTGGCGTTGAGCAAGACAAGGATGCATTCACAGCCTACTCCCGCAACTTGTATGAAGACTGCTATAGGGAGCAGCCTGGCTCGGTGGCCTTCAGGCCGCAGCCACTGGCAGAGGTGCGCCGGCCGCATGTGCAGTTTGGCATGCCCTTGCTGGCATTGAGCATGACGTGTGCGCTGCGCGTCGCTGCCAGCGACGGGTGCACCACCAGGCGCTGACCACCGTGCGCCCTGCCGCGGAGCTGTCCTTGCAGGCGCTGGCAGACACCAAGGCGGGCAAGCCGGGCTACCCAAGTAGGCATGCACAGCAGAGCTTGTTTGCTGCCAGGATGCTGTGCAGTGTTGGGTTTGCTGTAGTAGCGGTGTGGTCTTGCGCATGGGTCATGCGGGAAACTCCCCTTCCTCATGCACTTCCCTGGCGCATGGCTGGTATGCTGCAGGGCCCGGCCAAGTGGCGCACCTCCACTTCTCGCCGCCCTGCCAGGATCTTAGCTCGATCAACAAGAAACCCACCCTGGAGGACGTGAAATTGAAGGTCCTGGCCATTGCTGACCAGGTAAGGCAGGCAACAGGACATGCGGCCCCAGGCCAGGCCAGGCTTGCAGCTGGCGGGGCCCGCGCTTCGGAGCATGGCTTGGGCCATGGCAAGAGCTCTCAATTGGTCTAGGCTGGTGCATTCCCAACAGCTAGGGAGGCCTGGTTGCTGTGCCGTGGGCGCGCCCCAGGACTGCCGGCTTCTTGCTCATTGACCGAAGGCTGATGCATTCTCCGCAACCGCAGGTGCTGGAGCTGATACGCTTCTTGGGGCCCAAGACCCTCTCAATGGAAGAGGTTCCCCAGGCGAGTCGCTGGAAGCCAGCAGGAGGTTGCAGCTGGGCGCCTGCGGGGAGACCTCACCCGCAACTCATGGCCATGGCGCCTTGCGCAGCGCTGAGGCCCTGGCTGGGAGCTTTGGGGGGGTGGGGGGGGGTGGGGGGGGGCAGCCTCAAGCTTGGCAAGCCGCGTGCCTGCTGCCCACACCATAGTGCCAACCGTCTGCGTGACTGCCTGGCTTCTTCTGCCTGCCCGCCCGCTGGATTCCGCTGCAGTACTTCCGAGCCGTTTTCCGCGTGGCGGGCCCAGGCACCGACAAGGTGACGGTCAGGCCGTGGCTGCGGGTTTGTGCAGGCCTCCTTCGGATGGGCTACCAGGTGGGTTCGACAGGAATGCAGGAGATGCAAGTTGGGTGCGAAACCACTCTGGATCTGTGCGTTTGATCAACCGCATGCCAGATGCCTGCTGGGTGCGAGGTGCTGGACGTGTGTGCATCGGGGCTGCAGCTGCTGGCACATTGGTGTGTGAGCTCTGGTGGCCGCGTGTGTGACAGCTGCCGTTGTGGCTGCTGCTGCTGCTTCGCAGGTGGACTGGCGCTTGCTGCTGGCAACCAACTTTGGAGCAGCCAACCACCGCCTGGTGCGTGGCGGCTGGCTGCAGCCCAGCCAGGGCGCCTGGATGTGTTGCGACTTGCACTGTGCACGCAATCTCCTTGCTGCATGTTCGCGCAGCACTCTGTTGCTTCTGTCTGCTACCTTGTGCTGAAGGCGTGGCCTCGTTGCCTCCCTGCCCGCCTGCAGCGCTGCTGGATGCTGGCTGCACAGTCGGGCTACGAGCTGCCGCAGCCGCCAGTGCCCCGCTACTTCACACATGCCGACAAAGGTGCCACCTGTTGTGTGTGTGTTTGTGCGTGCGTATGTGCTCTGCGCTCAGCTGACTCGGCTCATTGTGACTGTACCACCTACTGTGCCACTTGGCTGCTGTTTGAGGTGGTGCGTTGTCACTGCCACGAGCCTAGCCCTGCGCTGCTCCCTGTGTCACTGCAGTGTGCTACGCCCGCTTGCCTGGATACGACGACCGCATGTTGGACTCGCTGGGGGACAAGGACGAGGGCGGCTGGAAGTCCCTGCTCGTCATTGCGCAGGCACGACGCTGCCGCATGCAGTCCATCCAGCCTGTGTGCTTTGCCTTGCCCCGCCTTGCCAGCAGGCCGCTTGTCTTGGCAGCTGGCGCGGCGCATGCTGGCCTCGTGCTCCTCGGTTGTTGACTCTAAGTTGGGTTCCTCTACAATGCTTGCCTGTGCAAGCAGGAGTCGCTGCCGGCGGCGGTGACGGTGGAGGAGGCGATTGGCGACCTGCCAGCGCTGGTCGGCCTGGGCGGCGGGCGGGGCTGGGGCGACATGCGGTATCCCGACCCCTGTCAGTTCCGCAGCCGTGCCGCGCCGACGTTTGCCGCCGGCTCACCTGCTCTGTTCACAGCTGCGCTGCCTTGCCCGTCCCACAGCTGCACCGTTGTTGCTGCATCTGCTGCGGGCGGCCTGGGTCGGCCCTTATCCGGCTGCGTGCGCCCCGCATCTGCTCCCATGCAGCCGACCAGCCACTGTCCTGCTTTGCCGCTTGGGCTCGGGATGGCTGCACGAAGCTCTCGTATCACGAGTGCAGAGCCGGCACCAGTGAGCATGCTGGATGCTGGGCAGCCGACTGGCAGTGTCTTCAGCCAGCTCTGCTGGCTGCTGCTGCCATCACCCCCGCCGCCATGCCCGCCGCCAGCCAGCCAGCATCGCTGCTGGACCCCCTTGATGCCGTGTGCGCTTGTGCTGTTTGCAGCCGGCAAGCCGTACCCTTGGAAGGATGCGGCACCCACTGTGTGCAGCAAGGACAATGCCGCGCTCTGCCCCTGCATTCACCCCAAAGAGCAACGCGTGCTGTCAGTACAAGGTGCGAGCCTGCCTGCTTGCCTGCCTCCTGCTTGCGCCGGCGCCCAGTCCTAGCTATCAATCAAGCAAGCAAGCAGTGCCGCTGAGGTGGAACCTGGCTGGCCATACCATGCAATTCTAGGCAGTGCCCACGTGCCCTGCAGAAAAAATGCGGTTGCAGGGCATCCCCGATAGCTTCCACCTGGCAAGCTACCTCAGCAAGCAGTACCTCCAAGTCGGTGAGTTGGAGCTCATGTACTGCACCACTGCTGTATCTCGGCCCCGCCTGACCAGACAGCAAGTGCACCATGGGTAGCCCGCCTGTTATGCAGCCAGGCTAAGTATGCATGCCTGCAAGGAAGCTAGACGGACAGCACGCAAGCACCAAAGCACGTCACTGCCACTGCCTCCCCCCTTGGTGCAGGCAATGCGGTGCCTGTGCCAATGGCTGTCGAGATTGCGTCTGTATGCTTCAAGGCGCTAACGGGGCAGGATCCACCCTACCAGCTGCCCCTGCTCAAGGGATTTGTAGGCGGGGTGCCGAACCCGGAGCGCGCTGCGCCGCAGCGGGTGCAGCAGGCTCAGCAGGCGCAGCAGGCGCAGCAGCAGGAGGACGAGGCCGATGCGGCAGCAGGGGCAAGTCCAGGCCCGGGATCGAGGCAGGATGCGCAGCAGCAGGCGGCAGGTGCCCGCCTGGCTGCGGCAGCAGGGCGCAACCGCACCATTGAGCAGGGGACAGCTGGAAAGCGACGCAAGCGGCACCAGCCCGCCAATGCTGCTGCTGTCGCTGCGGTAGAGCGCAAGGAGAGGGCAGAAGAGGCTGCCGCAAAGACGCAACGGCAGGAGCGCGAGCTGCGTCACCTGCGGCGGCGGCAGGGGCTGCCAGGTGGCGGCCAGCAGCAGGGGCAGCAGCAGCAATCTGTCCAAGTGGTTATTGACCTGCTCTCCGACAGCGAGGAGGAGGAGCAGGGCAGCAAGGGGCAGCTGCTGGAGGTGGGAAGCAGCGAGGAGCGGCAAGAGGAGCGCGCGGACAGCGAGGAGGAGGGAGATAGCCAGCAGGGCAGCGAGGAGGGCGGCACTCCCACCCTGCTTCCTCAGGAGCAGCAGCCACCGGAGCAGCAGCAGGAGGCAGATGGGAAGGAAAGGGAGGAAAAGGGGGGAGAGCAGCAGCAGCCAAAGCAGCAGCCAGAGCCACAGCCGCTGCACGCGGAGCAGCGGCGCCAGCCCGCCCCATGCCAGGGCCGGCAGCAGCAGGCGGAGCGGGAGGAGCCGCAGCCGCTGGTTCCGCTCGCCGCGGCCCATGTGAAAGCTGAGCCTGTGGAGCAGGCGCCGCAGCAGCGGGTCTCCTCATCCGACAGCGTCATTGACTTGGTCTCCAGCGAGGAGGAGGAGGAGGAGGAGGAGCGGCAGCAGCTGCATCAGGGGCGCCTGTCACCAGGCAGCAGCATCACTGCCGTGAGCTCGGCTGCAGCAGGCGTCAGAGCCAGTAGGCGCAGTGCTGGGGTGCACCGGCCGGGCGCACCGGCTGCGCTGCGGGGTGGAGTGCCTGCTGCTGACGCCGCGGCTGGCCACCTGGCAGCGGCGGCGGCAGCCAAGCTGGCAGCGGCGGCCGAGGCCGTGGCTCGCGTCAGAGAACACTTTGGCAGCAGGGCAGCCAGCCCCGCCCATTGGGGCCCAGTGCAGCCTGCCTAGCAAGAGCAGAAGGAGTGGCGGCAGCCGCAGCCACAACGCTAGCTGCAGTGTTCTACTACTAGACAGACCCGTTCAATTCTTTCAATAATGATTTAAGTACAACAACGTCATGCCATAATGGTGACAGATCACATTTATGTGTCACTGCCTCCTCATCGACTCTGCCAGCTTCCTTTGAATAGTTCTTTGTTGCGATTGGTGACGACAGGAGGGCGGTAGTCAGGGATTCTGTAACAAAACAGCATGCAACCAAAATGAAACCTCGCATTTAGCGCATGTCTTGGTGGCAGTCTGCGCACTAATCACAGTGCCCTTCCACAACAACCACTTCAGGCCTAGGCCTTGCGATCTGGAGGGCGCAAGCGGGCGGGGAGAGAGGACAGGACAGGGGCACAGTGACTTGGGTAGCCCTATGAGCACCCCGCCAGGCGCATGCTCACCCAACGCAGTCATGCCGACTGCTGCCCCCCTCATCATCAACACTGGGTGACCGGCACCCTGACCGCGGGGCACATTCGCCCGACATCACTCACTGTAGCCGACCACGTAGCCGGCGGCCCTGACCGCCTTGCGCCGAGGCTCGGTGCGGTAGATGGCGCAGCCCTTGGCGCTGATTTGGAACCGCACGCAGCCGGTGGCGATGCGGCACCGCTTGCAGCAGCCGGCATAGGTGGTGACGCCTGCCACCCTGTAGGCCGGCCTGTCGGTGAAGCGTGCTTTGCGCTTGGGCTTGGTGCACTTGCGCTTGAAGCAGGTGGGGCGGCGCGCTGCAGGGAGGGTGTGAGGCACGGGGAGTGTGAAGGCAGCAGAGGCTGCAGTGAGTCTTAAGCAGGTGGTCGGTTGCTGCCCCACCTGCCGGCGAGCAGGCACACATGTGATGTACAGGCATGCAAGCAAGCAAGCCAGGTGGCGGCGACCCCTCACCAGCGGTTGCGCTGGCTCCTTGCGAGGACGCGATGGGCAGGGCGCACTTCTCGCACAGGGATTTTTTTCCAGTGAGGCACGGCTCGCCTCCTGCGTACAGATCAGTGCCCACCAGCCTCTCTTCTGGGCGGCACTCGGAGTCCGCACAGACCCCGCTGGGCCCGGGCGCACCACGCCTGCGAGCGCCACAGCCACAAAGCGCGGTGGATGACGCACAGGCATTGGCTGCCGCTGTGTAGGCAAACAAATGGGGCCTGTGCAGCCGGAAGCAGGTGCTGCCGCCGCCTGCTCGCCGGCGCAGCTGCTGCACTGTGTTGCATGCTTGCTCACCAGGCGTAGCGGCAGTCGGCACACTCGATGCGCCCGCACAGCGAGCACAGCACTTTGCCGGGGCCGCCGGAGCAGGGGCTGCCAAAGTGTGGGTCGTTCAACACTGGGTTGCCCTGACCTTGGGGAATCATGGGGCCCGAGCGCATGGGCACAGTGACTGGCGTCCAGCCGGAAGGGCAGGTGCCTGCGCACTGCGCTTCGTTGTCGAACCACAGCATCGCGCAGTCTTCCAGGCCGCAGCGGTAGCACGTGACCTGGTAGTCAACACGTGTGTTTCTGACGTCCAAGTTGTAAGGCTTGTTGTTGAAGCCAGCAAGCTGCCAGAATTCGCCGTAACTTCGGCATGCCGCCACGGCGGCGTCCTTCTGAAGGGAGGGTATGGGCGCACACACGGCGGAACCGAGCAAGTTGGCAGGAGGCAGCGGCAGGGCGCTGCGCATCGGGCAGGTGCCAGCGCCGGGGGCGGGGGCCCCTGCTGATGCTACCACTGCCGGAAGATGCACATCTGCCATTCTCACGATTTCCGGGATGTTGGGGAAGACAAAGTCAGGTACTTTGAAACTGATTGTGTGCTCCACAGAAATGCAGCCGTCGGTGGCACGGAACGCGAGCACGTCCGCTGCGGTGATGGCTTGAGCCCGCGGGAAGAGCGCCGCCAGCACCAGCGCCGCCAGCGGCAGGGGCATCCGCCCCGCCGAGCGACTGGACAGCAGGGCCATGGAGAGGTCCTGCAGCGGTGGGGGCGCATGGATGGTGCTGCCATGGGTCAGGGGGGATCCACACACAGGGAGGACGAGAAGGACACCCGTGTGGAGGGAGTGGGCGAGAAGTGCTAGCGGGCCGCCAGCGGCAGCCCGCCCGCCGGATGCATCCTGGCCCGCAGCGAGGAGTGGGCAGGGGTCCACTAGGAGCCACAGCGGCGCCTTGCACGGCCGAATTCGGTGGCGCTGGGCACGCGCCCCGCCGACCGGGGCTCCAACCCCTGCCACACGCAGTTTCGGCACGCTGTCGAATGAGTTCAGGGTCACACAACCCAGCGCTGGGAGGGAACCCTGCGCTCCCAGGTGGATGGGGCGCCGGGGCCCAACCATGGCCATATCACAAGCCATACCTTCACAGCTCAGCGCTGCTTCACTGCCGCTGGAGAAAGGCTAGGGCGTGATCTACAGAGGAGAGGCTCGCCAGAGGCAATGTTGGATGCAATGAAAGCGGGCGCGACAGGAGGTGAGCTACCACCCCCGCTGCGGCTGCAGGCCCCATTGCCGAGAAGCCAAGGAATTGGAACATGCTAAGGCCTGCAACCAATGACGATGTGATAGTGGTGAAACTCAGGGCCTTGCAAAACGACGAGGTCTTAGGATCCAACAGCATCCACGCCGTGCTGCAAGGGTGCAGGAGGTGCTCCGCCACCTTGAGCACCAGTTCCATGGGGGTGCCAGGTGGAAGGTTCTCGCATTCAGGGGGTGTCTGCAGAAAGAAAGGGCCAGGATGCCCTGCCCGATCATGAGGCTGGAGCACTCTGGGCGGGGTGGGGCGCGCGGGTGCACTACGGCGGCAGCACGAGGGACGAGCGCCGCAGGCGGAGGGGCTGCTACAAGGCAGGCCAGCAGCTGCTCACCAGCCTGGGACCCTGCCACGGCAAGCCCGGCGCCAGCCACCGGCGTGTGCCCCCTCCCTCAAATTACGGTGCCAGGTGTCAGCTCTTACACCCGGGCGCAGAGGGGTCAACCCTGCACACCGACGCCTGCAGCGCCTGCACCTGAAGCCCCAGGTCCCCCAGCTGATTCTGCTGCCTCAGCACGAGCTTGGTCAGCTCCGCCAGCTGCTCCGCGTATGCCGCAGGCCGCTCATCTTCCTGCCTGGCGCGGGCGCCAGGCCCCTGCTCCGCTGCAGGGCTGCCAAGCGCGCTGCTGCCACCGCCGCCGTCACCGCTGCAGCTACCGCTGCCCAGGCCACCTGGAGTGGGGGGGTCGGCACGTCAAGCGCGTCAGAAAGTGCCGGCCAAGGGTGCTTTGCAGCACACACCTGCAATAGCAGCAGCCAGTGGCAACATATTTTCTGCAGGCCACCCTGGTGCAGCTAAGCCGGGCACTCGCCTGCATACTGGATGCCAAGCTGGTGCTGGGCAAGCATGGGGTCCTGCCAGCTGCCGAGGCCACCAGCCGCGCCCAGCCCAGCTACCGCTGGCGCTGCTAGCCCGTGCTGCCGCTGCTGTAGCGCCGCCTGCAGCGGCTGCGGCAGCTTGGCCAGCAGCGCGCGCCCCGCTGCCTGCAGCCCCTGCCCGATGCTCTGCTGTGCTGTGGGGCTCAGCATGATGCCCGCGCCCCAGCCATACCCCAGCATCATGCCGCAGCCAAAGCCGGCATCCAGGTGCCGCACCCCCAGGCCTCGCAGCCGGCCCCTGGCTGCGCCGGCAAAGCCGCCGGTCGCGGCGTTCAGGCTGCCCAGGCTGGCTGACAGGCTGGCTGACAGCTGGCCGAGAACCGGGATTGAGTGCAGGGCGACGGGTGTTACGATGCCCACGCCCACGCCGCAGCCCACAAAGAGGCCTGCCCCGGTGCTTCCCATACGCAGCTCCACGGGGGACCGGCCCATGACCTGGACGAGGGTGCGCAGGAGTCCTGAGCCTGCGGCGGCAGGGTGCCGGTGGTGGAGGCGGTGCAAGCGGTCGCGCAGGCTGCACGCCTGGGGCGGCGTGAGCGGGAGTGCGTGTCGTGGCGCATGCAGCTCTTCAACTCTGGCAGCAACCAAAGCGGAACCAGCAGCAGCAGGGGTTTGTGCAGCACTGGCGAGGAGCCAAATCACGCTGTCGCGAGTCTTAGGCGGCACCAGGCACCCACCTAGATATGGACCGACTTGGGGTGAAGCGGGGGATGCGGAAGCACGCTGCAACTCGCGGGAAGCGCGAGGAAGGCAGCGCTTGGAAGTGCAGGCTAGCCGCAGCACTCCTGCCAATGCTGATTATAAATTGCAACGCCGCACGGAGGAGATCGGCAGTCTGGGGCGGCGTTTCGCTTTGGGGAAGGGCCGGCGCTGAGCTGGCCTGACGAGGGCACCTTTGGCACTGCACCTGCAGGCTCTTGGACGGCCCTTTAGACCACCAGCAACCAATTGGCAGCTCGCTGCAGTTCCGCGGCAGCCTTGGGTTGCCAGCGTTGACTTTGTGCCGGGCGGTTTCGACGAGCGTGCAATTGACGCCATGCTCGGCAGCACCCGCTCAGGGCAGCAGGGACAGCGGGCCAGAGGCGCAGGCAGCGAAGCGCAGCAACCGGGGACAAGCAGAGCGCCGCACCACTCGCCAGGCGGCGGCGCCACCAACTACCGCGTCGTCTACAGCTCTGACGACTCGCTGAGCGATGGGGAGCTGCACGTGGAGCGGCGGCAGGGCAGCATCAGCGCCTGGTACCAGCGGGGGTCCGCCCCCACTTCCGAGGCAGCAGCATCCTCCTCGCCGCGGCATCAACCGGCTCGCCAGCGGCGCTCCCCGCGCCGGAGCACCAGCGCATCCTCTCGAGACAGCGGCAGCGAGGGTGCAGCGCCGCTGCGCAGCTCAGTCACCGTGGTGCTGCACGACCACGCCGGCGGCAGCCAGGACAGGGAAGAGGAAGAAGGCCCGGAAAGCCGGGGCTCTGGCGGCTGCGCGCCAGGTGGCGACAGCGAGGGCGGCGGCGGCCCTGCCAGCCTGGCAGTCGGGCAGCAGGAGCTGCAGGGCATGATCAATTGGGAGACCAACAACCTATTCGACTACCTGAGGGGCCTGTGCCAACAGGGAGATCAGGCTGGTACCAGCCGGGAGGCGCACCTTGGGCAGGGACAAGACAGGTGCCTCTTTCTGAGCTTTTCCACGCCTGCCAGGGGGGTGTTGCTCTTCGGCTGCCAGCCGCCAACCTGACAGTCGCAACGAGCCGGTGACCACCATGAAACATCATGCCTGGACTCCCCGCTCCCCTGGCCTGCAGCGAGGAGTGGGCCCGCCGCCTGTCGGCGCTGCGCCAGCTGCTGCGGGAGCGGGACGGCGAGGTGGCGGAGCTTCAGGGGCTGCTGGAGGCCCGGCAGGCGCGGCTGGAGGAGCAGGGGGCGGAGCTGGCGCGGCAGGCGCGGCGGGTGGCGGCGCTGGAGGAGAGCGGCGGTACCGCCCCGCTGGCCAGCTTCCCCACCTACACCAGCGAAGGGGAGCCGGCAGGAATGCAGCGGGACGAGTACGGCCAGGTGCTGCACAACAAGCGCCAGCTGGCGGCAGCCTACCAGCCTGCCGCCACCGCAAGCGACGCCTACTTTGTGCAGCTGCCCGCGCAGTCGTACGCGGCGTACAGCGGCTGCGGCTTCTGGCAGTCGGTGGCGGAGGCGGCGCAGCGCCGCCCGCGGCGGGTGGGGCTCGCCGCAGCCGCCCTGCTCCTCTTCCTGCTCATCGTGCTGTGCGCGACGCTGATCCCCGCGGCGCAGCGCCGCCGTGCCGCGCCGCGCTTCCTGGCAGCGCCCTCTCTGGCGGCCACTGGCGCCACGTGGATCGACGTGTCTGTACAGGTGGACAGGCCGGCGGTGGTCAGCTATATGGCGTTCAGGCAGGCAGACCTGAACACGCAGGTGCCGGGGCTGGGGCGCACCCTGTTGGAGCTGATTCAGGGCGAGGAGGTGCAGGCGGCGGCTGTGGTGGCCGCCTCTGCTCCGTCTGCCGGCGCGGCAGGCGCTGGCTTTGGCAGCAGCAGCAGCAGCAGCAGCAGCAGCAGCAGCAGCAGCAGCAGCGCGCAGCTCAGCGGCCTGCAGCAGCTAGCGGTGGCCTGCAGCTGGTCCAGCGCAGACGCCGCCACTGGCAGCGGGGGCAGCAGCACCGTATCTGTGCTGTCGGCTGCGCCAGCCGCCGACGCCGCCTGCACGGGCGGCGGCGGGGCATCGGCCCGCTGCGCACGCTGCCCTCAGCTGCATGACGGCACAGGCTACACGCTGCTGCTGACGGCGGTCGGCGCCAGCGGCAGGGGCTTGAGCGCCGTGCAGGTGGTGAATGCGGTGACTGGGGAGGCGGCTGTGAACGTGAATGGGCTGGAGCCACCATATGCCGACAACGCCACCGCCACCTCCTTTGACCTCCATTTCAAGCTCAATGCGCCAGGTGCCTGGTGCTGGCGTGGAGCGCACATGGCTTCCTGCTTGACTCAGCATGCTTTTGCACCAGGAAATCCGTGTTGCCGCCCCTATGTGTTTCATGCTTTTGGGGGGTGCCCGCCCGTCTCCTGCAGGCACGCTCTACTATGCCGTCGCCCACGCCCGGCTCTTTGCGCCGTACGGCGCGCGCCAGCTGGCGTATGGCGCCCTCACGCCCCCCAGCGCCGCCGTCGTAGCCGCCAACCCTGCCTCCTTCCTGGGCGGCCTGGTAGCAAATGGCAGCACCGCGGTAGCGGCCGCCGGTCAGTGGACCAGCCTGCGGGTGGATCCGCCGTGCGTGGCGGCGCTGTGCAGGGAGACTCTGCATGGGCTGCAGGGCGGCACCGAGTACCTGGTGTTCCTGGTGGCCGTGAACAACTATGGCGCGGTGGATCCCGCGCCAGCAGTCGCCGCCGTCACCACCGCCGCCGCCACGTCAGCGCCCGCCCTGCTGCCGCCCACCGCCCCCTCCAACATCTCTGACAGCGGCTTTGGCATGGCAGTCAGCATGGATGCTGCGGGCGGCGTGTACTTCTCGCTCCTTGCAGCCAAGCCAGGGGTCACTGTGGCAGCGGAGGCAGACGGCATCGCCGCAGGCAGCTGGGCCCAGATGGGCAGCCTGCTCCCTGGCGTCGACAGCCGTCGCCGGCTGCTGGGTGCAGCAGGCGGGGCAGCACGCGTTTTTACGCCGGCTTCTCCGCAGCTGCGTGCCCTGCTGGCAGGGGACTCGCCGGTACCGCCTGGTACGCTGGTGGCGCCCACTTGCTACCCCATGAACCGAACGTGCTTGCTAGAGGCGGGCGCAGCCTTTGCAGGGGTGGACGGCCTGGCCGGCAGCTTTGATGTGCTGGCCTCGGGCTGCACAGAGGTGCCGGAAGCGGGGCGCGCGGTGGCGCTGCCGCCGTTCAGCGGCCTGCAGAACGACACGCTGCACTACCTGCTGCTTTCCACAGAGGATACTGCGGTACCGCAGCCCAACCGCCTGCAGCCGCCGGCCGTGTTTGCGGTGCACACCGTGGACCTGTCGGCGCCCCGCCTGGCCTGCGGCTTCCCGGTGGCCGCCAACATCACCTCCACCAGCTTCTCCTTAGCTGCCATGCTCACCAAGCCAGGCGCCTCGGTCTTTGTTGTGGTGCTGCCCGCGGCGGCAGCCGCCACCCCGCCGACAGCAGACGAGGTGCTGCGCGGCACGGGCGCCGGCGGCGCCGCCGCGGCCGCCGCCGGCAACCTGACGCACTGGGGCTCGCTGCCCTGGGAGGTGCCAGGGGTGGCGGCAGACCCCCGCAAGCTGTGGGCTCCTGTGACGGGGCTGCAGAGCGGGGCCAACTACACCGCGTACCTGACAGTGACGGAAGATGGCGGCGCTCCGCTGCACGGCGGCGCCGTGGCGGCGCTCAGGTGGGCAACGGGCTGCCTCATTGCCAGCTTAAGCTTGCATCAGTCTGTTTCTTTGCAGTGCAGAGGACTGGCTCTACTCTCAGGGACCACTTGGCGCCAGCTCTCAGCATGCTGCCTCCCACTTCTCTTGCTTGCCTTGCAGCGGCATCCTCACACCCAGCACCGCGCCCCCCACCTTCACCCGCCTCAAGGGCCTGAACGCCAGCGTGGACGAGCAGCGGGGCACCTTCTCTGTGCAACTGTCTACCGACCTGGACCGGGCGGGACAGGTGTACTATGCGCTATACCGGTGAGGATGACGTGCCAGCAGTACCACCGGGCGGTACACCAGCTGTCAGTCCAGTCCCGCAGCATGCCTGCCTGCTGGTGCTGCCGGCTGCTGTGCTGGAAGGGGTCTGGCCGAAGGAGGGGCAGTGTGCTGCACTATTGCGCTGCGCCGACTTCACTCCCTCCTCCCTTCTTCCTTCCTCCCTTCTTCCTGTCCACACTCTGCAGCAACTACACCTGCATCCGGGGCGAGCCAACCGTGGCCGACATCGTGGCGGGCAACCCGCTGCCGCCCTCCGTGTGCAAGTGCGACGACGCGTCCTACTGCGCCCTGGTCACCGCGGGAAGCTACGCGGTACCTGGACAGGTACCGCGCGGGAGGTGGAGCCTGAGCCGCGCAGCTAGGCACCGCCTGGCAGGGGCATGCAGCAGCGCCGCGTGTGCTGCCGCCTGATGCGCCCCTCGCTGCCGCCTGAGCTCAGGCTGAGCCGTGCCGCTGACACTGCGCCGCGGTGACCTTCCCGCGTGTTCCCGCCTGCCGCCGCCGCCGTGTGCAGACGCTGAGCGCGGTGCACTCGGTGGGCGGCGAACTGTCGCCGCTGCCCTTCCAGTCGCTGCGCAACGCGAGCGAGGCCCAGCTCAAGTGCTTCCAGGGCGGGCTGGGCCAGGCCACCGACACCTACAACGTGAGTGCCTCCTGCAAGCGGGGGGGGAGACAGGAATTACTTCTATGAGCGGGGGCGGACAGGAAACACACTTCTGGGCTTGAAGCCCAGCTGGCGGGAAGCCCTGCGCTGCTGCGTGTGCGAAGCTACACAGCCGGCTGGGCAGGCACTTTGTGGTGCAGTACCAGCAGCAGGCCCTGCCACCCACGTGCATGCCAGAAGCGCACTTCCCGCCTGCAGATTTACCTGGTGGCCGGCAGCGCGCTGCCCACCCACACGGGCCTGGCCCCGCAGTGTGGCCACCTGGCGCAGGCGGCGGCCACGGCGGCCGCGGCGGCCGCCCAGCCAGGCGCCGACCCGGGCGCCGGCTGCCCCGCCGCGCCGCGCCTGGCCTGCGCCCAGGCCCAGCTGCGTCCGGATTCTCAGGTGCTGCAGGCCGGCGCCATCCAGCCCTGGCCCCTCAACGCCAGCGGCGGCGGCGGCGCCGGCCCGCTGGAGTGGCTGCCGCCGGCGGGCGCCGCCGCGGTGGGCCGCCCCGCCAAGACGCAGCTGAGCCTGGAGGGCGGCGCGGCGCCGGCGTTTGCCTGGGGCCCCGCCTTCCCTCCCGCCATGCGCACCGGCGGCAGCTTCGGCATGCAGTTTGCCCTGGACAAGCCGGCGCTGCTCATCTATGCAGGTGGGGTGCGGTGGGACGGGGCAGTGCATCAGCGTGGTCGGCGGCTGATGGGGGTGCTTGGCAGTGAGAGGGGGGCACCTGTGCCAGGCAGCATGTGTGGCTTGCCGATCGAGATATGCTCATCCAGGCGCTCTGCTAGCTAGCTTTAGCCTACAGCTGAGCTCGCTCTGCTGACAACACGCCACCCAGCGCCACCAGCCTTCCCCTGGCGCCCACCCCGCACCCTGCAGTCTTCCGCCCCATGCCCATCGACGCCAGCGGCAACCCGCAGGCGCCAGTGCTGATCGCCACGGGGAGGGTGCCTGTGTTCGATGCGGGGGCCAACGCCACCACCGGCGCCGTCGCCGCCTGCCCCTGGGCGCCCGGAGGCGCCATGCAGCCGCAGGCGCAGGTGGGGCATCTCACCCAGCCGCTGCCGCCGTGTGCAGCCGCTCCGCCAGCCAGCTGGCCGTGCACAGCCGCTACCGGCTCGCCTCGCTGGCGGATCAGGCGTGCGCTGCGGTGAGGGTGCCCGCCCGCATCCCGCCCTGCCCCGCAGTATTACATCACCTTCATCGCCCGCGACAAGTATGGGCGGATGGACGGCCTGTGCCCGGGGCAGCAGCCAGGCACGGCGCCTCGTGTATGCACCGACCTCGCTTTCACCTGGGTCTGAGCCAGGGGCTGGCCAGCAGGTGGCCGTGCGGCGCTGACCAGATGGCATCCCAGCGACCCTCGGGTGGTGGCTGACTGACGATTCGCTTGCTTGTGATCAAGAGCTGGGACTGGTCTTACACGTATTTTATTTGATTTGCGAGCCACATCTGCTTTGAGAAAACGCCAGCAGTGGCGCCGAGTACATGAAAGGGTCTGAAGCGGGAATGAAATCGGGTCAACAAGTACAAACCAGCCGCATGCCTGTAGTAGACAAGAGAGAGCAGTGCTGGCGCCTGGGCTCAGGCCTTGGCAGGGTACTGCCGCGCGCCAAAGATGGTGCTGCCCACCCGCACGTTTGTGCTGCCCATCTCAATCGCCGCCTCAAAGTCGCCGCTCATGCCCATGCTGCGCAGCACGACGCAGCCGCGGGGGGAGGCAGGGCGGGTGGGAGGAACGCAACGCAGGTGCTGGTGGTGGTGGGGATGGGGGTGGTTGATGGGGGTGCGTTGGGAAAAGAAGCGGAGCAGGGCTGTAGGCACCAATGCAAGTGTGATCTGTGGCTGGCGCTGGTTGCTGCAGCCAAGGGGTATGATGCAAAGCCCCCAAGGCCCCCCACCTGAGCTCCAGGTCGCCTTCCTGCAGCCCCAGCGCGGCACACACCGCCCGCCGGCAGTCTGCCAGGCACCGGAAGTTCTCGGGCCGCGAGGTGTAGTCTGCGGGGGCGTGGCGGCGGCATGGGGACGAGCAGCGACGGCATGCTGATGCAACACAAGCAGGCGACACACATGGACCCTCCCCCCCAAACGCACACACACAAATCCACTAACACACCCACGCAAGGCACACCAGCAGCAGCGCACCCACACCTGGCATGCCTATCGTCATCAGCCCCGCCAGCCGCAGGTGCGGGCACTGCTCGTGGATGTGGCGGGCCAGCGCCAGGCAGTCCTGCGGCTCCACCCCATACTTGCTTTCCTCCCCGCTCGTGTTGACCTGCACAAAGACCGCCAGCGGCGGCCGCCCCAGAGACGCCACTGCAGGGGCAAGGCAGAGGCCGGCAGGAGGGCCAGAGGTTGGGCAAGAGACGGTGGGTGAGGATGCACATCAACAGCAGCTCCTAACGCTGTGCTGCTGGCCCATCCCGTCACCCGCGTGTCTGCATACCCGTGCTGTCCAGCTTGCTGGCCAGCTTGGCGCTGTCCACTGTCTCCAGCAAGGCCAGGTTGGGCACCGCCTCAAGCAGGGCCTTCACCTTGTTGGACTGCAGGCAGCAGGGCAGGAGCGGGGCCGCGGCGGCCACGGCATGGGGCAGCCAGAGAGGCAGCCAGAGCAGAGCGGCGACACAGCAGGCAACACGGCGCAGCAAATCGACCAGCCAACTGATGAGCAGTTGGCGACTCTCGGTGCGGCAACCTCTCATGCCGCACTATGCGCCGCACCAGGCTGCAAGCCAGCACACCACACGCCACACACTGCGGCGGCGGTGGCGGCAGCCACACCTGGAGGTGGCCGATGAAGTGCCAGGCGCAGTCCTGTGGCAGCAAGGGCGCCTTGTCCGCCAACTCCTGAACATAGTTCTCCCCAAACACGCGGTGACCTGCCTCATACGCCTCCCGCACAGCCTCCGCAGGCTTGGTCTTGCTGACGGCCACCAGGCGGGGAGGGCGGCCGGCACGGCCCGCACGCGCCGCCGCCGCCGCCATGCGCGCGGTCACCTGCGGGGCGCGCGGCAGAACGGGAGCCAATCGGAGATGATCCTGGGGCGCAGCTGGGAAACGTGCAGCTCGCGGATTCCCCACCTCCTGCAGCGCGGTTGCCACTTCCCCTCCCATCACTGCCGATGCGGAGGCACTCGTCCGCACGATCCTGGCGCTGAATAGCAGGCTGCGCCTCGCGCCGGCGATGCAGGCGACCATGCGACGGTCCAAAGAGTCTGCTTCGTGGCCCTGCTTCAACGTAGATCGATGCAAACTTTTGCGGGGAAGACGAGCCTGTGATAATCACCGGCGGGAACATGGCCATGCAGCGCGCTGCTGAGATCTCGCCCAGCGGGCGGGCGGGCGGGCGCCGCTAGGCAGCGAGCAATGCTCTCTCTTTGCAATAGACTGCCATCATATGAGGCTGGCAGGAACCTTTATGCGGCTGATCAACGTCCAGGCTTCCACAAGCCAGTGCACACTCAAGCAGAGGTATGGAGGAGAATGCCGCCGCCTGCACCTCTCTCTGCAGTTAAGCTCCACACCGTTTCCCGCGGGGTAGCGTTTACAAAACAACCAAAAGGCAGCTGGGTGATGCACCACGAAAAGCCAATGTGAATGCAGGCACACTGGAGACTATCACTCGGAGCATCCCAGCGCCAAGACACGCCACACAATGTCGGATGGGAGGGAACAGCGCCGGCGCTGCTGGGCACGGTACAGGGCCAGGGCAGCAGTCCGCAGCCGCTGCACATCTGGAGGTGGCAGGCGCAGCACCAGCTGGAGCGCCTGCTCGGTCGAGTGCGTCAGCGCGACGGGCAGCGCTCGAAGCATGCCGGGGCAGGGGGCAGGCACCAGTGCCCACTCCTCGCCAGACAGCGGCGGGCGGGCAATGACAAAGTCGGCAAACAGCGGCAGGGCCGGGGGCCCGGCAGCAGACAGTAAGGAAAGAACGGTCAGGGCTGCGCCTGCTGCGAGTAGGCTGCGCGCCGCATCCAGATGCGGCGCCTGCTGGCCAATTATAAGGGCCAGCCGCAGCGGGATCCGTCCTTGAGCATCAGCCACCATAGCTGCTGCTGGTGCTGCCTCCAGCAGCAGACTGCAGGCTGCCTCGTGGCCCTGGCTTGCTGCCAGATGCAACGGAAGACTGCCGCTGCCGGCTGCTGTTGTTGCTGCGTCAGGTGCCGCCTGCAGCAGCAGCACAGCCACATCTGTGTGACCTGTTCCTGCTGCAAAATGCAGCGGGGTGCAGCCCTGGAGGTTTGCTGCTGAGGCCGTCGCTGGCGCTGCCTCCAGCAGCAGCCTGCATGCTGCGCTGTGGCCACGGATTGCTGCCAAATGTAGCGGAAGGCTGCCACTGCCGGCTGCCGTGGTTGCTGCGTCAGGTGCCACCTGCAGCAGCAGCACAACCACATCTGTGTGGCCTGTTCCTGCTGCACAATGCAGCGGGGTGCAGCCAAGGGTGGTTGCTGCTGTGGCGGTGGCTGGCGCTGCCTCCAGCAGCAGCTTGCATGCTGTCGTGTGGCCTGCGCTTCCTGCCAGATGCAGCGGAAGGCGGCCGTTGACGTCCGCTGTGGTTGCTGCGTCAGGTGCCGCCTGCAGCAGTTGCACAGCCACATCTGTGTGGCCTCTCTCTGCTGCATAATGCAGCGGGGTGCTGCCCTTGCTGTTTGCTGTTGTGGCCGTGGCTGGCGCTGCCTCCAGCAGCAGCTTGCATGCTGCCGTGTGGCCTTCTTTTGCTGCAATGTGCAGGGGCAGGGAGCCGTCGCTGTCACCTGTGGTTGCTGCGTCAGGTGCCGCCTGCAGCAACAGCATAACCGCATATGTGTGGCCTCCGCTTGCTGCCAAGTGCAGCGGGGTGCTGCCGTGGCTGGTTGCTGCTGTGGCTGTGGCTGGTGCTGCCTCCAGCAGCAGCGCGCATGCTGCGCTATGGCCCTGGCTTGATGCATAATGCAGCGGCAGGCTGCCGTCGCCGGCTGCCGTGGTTGCTGCGTCAGGTGCCGCCGGCAGCAGCAGCACAACCACATCTGTGTGGCCTCCGCTTGCTGCCAAATGCAGCGGGGCGCACCCCTGGTTGTTAGGGGCTGTAGCTGTGGCTGGCATTGACTCCAACAGCAGCCTGCATGCTGCCGTGTGGCCTCGAGATGCCGCCCCATGCAGCGGCAGGCTGCCGTCCCCGGCTGCAGTGGTTGCTGCGTCGGGTGCCGCCTGCAGCAGCAGCACAACCACATCTGTGTGGCCTCCCTCTGCTGCCAAGTGCAGCGGGGTGCTGACACGGGTGGTTGCTGCTGTGGCCGTGGAGGGCGCTGCCTCCAGCAGCAGCTTGCATGCTGCCGTGTGGCCTTCACGTGCTGCCCGATGCAGCGGAAGGTTGCCATCAATGTCAGGTGTGGTTACTGCATCAGGTGCCGCCGGCAGCAGCAGCACAACTACATCTGTGTGGCCTCCGATTGCTGCCAAGAACAGCGGGGTGCAGCCCCGGCTGGTTGCTGCTGTGGCCGTGGCTGGTGCTGCCTCCAGCAGCAGCTTGCATGCTGCGCTGTGGCCTACCCGTGCTGCCACGTGCAGCGGGAGGAAGCCGTCGCTGGAAGCTCTGGTTGTTGCATCAGGCGCCGCCTGCAGCAGCAGCATAACCACATCTGTGTGGTCTCGGCATGCTGCAAAGTGCAGCGGGGTCCCCCCCTCGCTGGATGCTGCTGCGGCCACGGCTGGTGCTGCCTCCAGCAGCAGACTGCAGGCTGCCTCGTGGCCCTGGCTTGCTGCCAGATGCAGCGGAAGACTGCCGCTGCCGGCTGCTGTTGATGCTGCATCAGGTGCCGCCTGCAGCAGCAGCACAGCCACATCTGTGTGACCCTGGCGTGCTGCAAAATGCAGCGGGGTGCAGCCCTGGAGGTTTGCTGCTGAGGCCGTCGCTGGCGCTGCCTCCAGCAGCAGCTTGCATGCTGCGCTGTGGCCACGGCTTGCTGCCATGTGTAGCGGAAGGCTGCCACTGCCGGCTGCCGTGGTTGCTGCGTCAGGTGCCACCTGCAGCAGCAGCGCAACCACATCAGTGTGGCCTCCGCTTGCTGCCAACTGCAGCGGGGTGCTGACCTGGCTGTTTGGTGCTGCGGCCGTGGCTGGCGCTGCCTCCAGCAGCAGCTTGCATGCTGCCGTGTGGCCCACCCATGCCGCCATGTGCAGGGGCAGGCAGCCGTCGCTGTCACCTGTGGTTGCTGCGTCAGGTGCCGCCTGCAGCAGCAGCATAACCACATCTGTGTGGCCTCCGCTTGCTGCCAAGTGCAGCGGGGTGCTGCCCTTGCTGTTTGTTGCTGTGGCCGTGGCTGGTGCTGCCTCCAACAGCAGAGCGCATGCTGCGCTATGGCCCTGGCTTGATGCATAATGCAGCGGCAGGCTGCCGTCGCCGGCTGCTGTGGTTGCTGCGTCAGGTGCCGCCGGCAGCAGCAGCACAACCACATCTGTGTGGCCTCTCTCTGCTGCCCAATGCAGCGGGGTCCAGCCATGGCCGTCAGCTGCTGTATCCGTGGCTGGCGCAGCATCCAGCAGCAGCTCAACCACATCTGTGTGGCCGCTGATTGCTGCCAAATGCAGCGGCCAAAAACCCTGGCTGTTTGCTGCGGTGGCCATGGCTGGCGCTGCCTCCAGCAGCAGCTTGCATGCTGCTGTGTGGCCTGCGCTTGCGGCTACGTGCAGCGGACGGGTGCCGTGGCTGGCCGCTGTGGTTGCTGCGTCAGGTGCTGCCTGCAGCAGCAGCACAACCACATCTGTGTGGCCTGCGATTGCTGCCAAATGCAGGAGGCCGTCGCTGTTTGCGGCTGTGACCGTGGCTGGCGCCGCCTGCAGCAGCAGCACGACCACATCTGCGTGCCCTTCGTGTGCTGCCCAATACAGTGGCGTCATGGCTGTCAGCTGCTGCCGCGGTGTCAGGTGCTGCAACCAGAAGCATCTTGATGGCAGCGGTCTTGAACTCCATGACAGCCGCATGCAGCGGGGTGCGTCCGTCGCAGTCAACCCTCGTCGCCAGCTGAGGATGTGTCATGAGGAGCAGCTGGATGATGGGCGTGTGGCCCAGGGCGGCTGCGGCATTAAGGAGGGTGCCCAACTCTGCCACCATGCAGCCTACAGTGCAAAGATGGCACACACATGAGTGTATACAGCGGCTGTAGGAGGGGAGATGGGCCTGCAGCATCGCTTGACAGCCGGCCCAAGCAAGACAGTTGCATACTCACCTCGGGTCGCCCTGTACGCCACGCAGGCCTGCAGCAGCTGCACCAGCTGGGAAACGCTCATGCTGCTCAGCTGGGTGCCGCCAATCGCAGCCAGATGTAGTCTGCAAGAAAAGCGGAGGAGCGGAAGGGACAGGCTGCTAAGCAGGCTCGCGAAGCGTAGCGCAGGGCGCAGAGAGCGAGCCGCCACCCGCCTCCTCAAGGAGGGTGGTGGGAGCTCCCGACTCGCTCACCCCATGGCGCCAGCCCACGGCGGCAGCTGCTGCTGGCTGCACAGATCCAGGGCTCGATAAGGCACCAGACCATCCAAGGCCTCCTTCACTGCAGCATGGGGACGTGTTCTGGAGTGGATAAGAGCCAACGGCGAATGGCTTGTCCCTTGCACAGGTGCGCAGGTGCAGCGGAAAGCACACGGCAGCAGCGGCTGCCACAACCGCACGCCTCTGCAACATCTCACTCACTTGTCAGCACACCGCGCACCAGGCTGGCCTCATCGGCCGACCGCAGGCCCTGAACCACCTGCGGCTCCCCGCCGTGCATGAACACGACCTGCGGGACGGCAGCGGGCGGTGGCGGGGGTCGGCGCCGCGTGGGCGGGGGTGCTCCTAGGCAGCGCGTCCCAGGCAGCCGGCATGCATCCAGCACCTGCGCCTTGCGGCTCAAGCCGCTGCCTCCAGCAGCAGACCCCACCCTCCCACCTTGAAGCGGTCTCCATCGGGCTCGATCACGCCCTGGACCCCGGTGCCAGCCATGGCACGCGGTGTGCAGGCGCGTGCGACAGAAGCGGCGAGAGGAGAAGTCTCTGCCGCGGCAAACTTGCCACTTGGGGCTCCGTGGTGCAAGACGCCTCAGGAAATGCGAGAAAGTATGAGGCACTTCAGAAGACGACAATGCGGCGAAGCCCGTGGCGCCCTGAGAGGATGAAAGATGCGGCGACAGGCTGGCGCCGCTGCGCGTGCGTTGCATTCCCAGTTCACAGCCCCCCTCGCAGACCACCAGAGCATAGATAAGGTTTACAAGAAAATCACGCCGATGGGTTCTCGATAAATGGTCACGCAAGCAACCAGTGCGCCAACCTACAGCAGGGCCTTCCATGCAGCAGTCTCGCGCTGGGCCGCCTCGTCGCCGCCGCTGCTGCCCGCGGGTAGCGGGCTCAGCAGCAGGCTGAAGCTGTACCTCCCCGGCGGCACCAGGTACTCCTTGTGCACTGCACACCAGGCAGGCAGGCCCATTCGCCGCCGCTCAAGACGCGATCTAGGGTCCGAACAAGCCATCCAGAGGCGCCGGTGCCCCTCCTCGCCGCGCAGCCCAGGACCCCGGCAGTGCCGCCTCCCCCTGCCGCCCACTGCGCCTCACCCGTGGGGCTCCAGCTGTCATCGCCGCCCAGCCCCATGTGGCGGTGGTCCAGGTGCAGCCAGGTGAAGCCGCTGGGCTGCAGCCAGCAGGGAGAGGAGAGGTTTGACTGAGGTGGGTGCTGGTGTCGACACATCAAGGAGCATCGGGGAGGAGGGTCCCCGGGTGCCGCTGGCCCCGCGCGGCTTGATTTCGACTCCTCTGGTCCTAAGTAGGCGCGAATCAGCGCCAGAAACGGGAGTCGACACTCCACATTGACCCTCCCTGACAACCCACTCAGTCAACGGGGCCGCGGCCCCGCCACCAGAACCCCGCAAGGCAGCCCCACCACAACACCAGGAGCCGCACACGGCAGCACCGCATGCGAAGCATGCCTGGCGGCGAGGCCAGCAGCAGCGGACGGATGAAGCGGCAGCAGGGTCGAGCAGAAGGGCATGAGGTGGCGGCACACCTGCAGCTCGTGGTCGTGCCTGGCCTGCTCAAAGGCGCGCACGCTGAAGGGGCTGGCGCTGACCTGCGCGGCACGTGGGTGGGCGCGGTGCAAAGATGCCGTGAGCAAGGCAGGGTGGGGTTGCCAGGCGCCCCGGCGGGTAGCCGCCGCCGGCAGGCACCCGCGGCAGACGCATGGGCACGCGCGTGCAGCAGCGCAGAGCGGCGGCCATGCGCCAGCCGCGCTCGCCTGCATGCTGCTGCCGGCGCCCGCGGCGGCCGCCAGCAGGCCGCCGCCGCCGCCGCGGTCGCCCAGCGCCACCCAGCGCACGTCGGCGCGGCCGCCGCTCTCGCCTGCGGCGGCGCGAGCGGGGCGATGCATGCTAGCCGTCGGCAGCCCAGGGTGGGAAGGGGCGGGTGCGTGCGTGCTGGCAGGAATAGCACGGGATGCCAGGCAGCCCCGAGACGAGCTGCGCGGCCGGCTGCCCCGCTGCCCAGCAGCACTGCCATGCCAGGTGGCTCACTGGGATAGACGTACGGCACGTGCAGCTGCTCAATCGACTCCACGCAGTGCCGGCGCAACACCGCCCCAGCCTTACGGTCTGCAGGCGGTGCCGGCGGGGCGGCAGGGTGTGTGCGCAGGTAGGTGTGCGGGCGTGCGAGCGGGCAGGCAGGCAGGCAGGCAGGGAAAGCCAAGAATGCAGGGGCGCAGCTTGGAGGCAGGCGTGCCCCACCCAGCGGCGCCATTGTCAGAAGGGACCACCCAAACCGCGCCCGGGTGACACACACACGCACACACACACACACACACACACTCGCGAACCTGGGTAGCACTCGTGCGGTCCGCGGCCGTACCACTGCACCCGCTGCAGGCGGGACGGCACGCCCAGCGCCAGCCCGACTCGCGGCAGGGACCTGCAGGCGGCACACAATAAAACAATCGTGAAGCAGCTGCTTCTGCTCAGCCAGGAACCGCAGGCCCGCCCTACAGCTGACCCCCCCGGCATCGCTTGCATTGGCAGGTGTGGCCGGCCAGGCAGCCCGGCCGGCCAGCTGGAGGCAGGCAGGCTGGCAGGCGGGCAGGCAGGCAGGCAGGCGGGCAGGAAGGCACACAGGCAGGCGGGCGCACTTGTCGAGGCCGGGTGCCAGGGCGGCGGGCAGCGCGTCGGTGGCATCCACTTCCCACCGCATCCTCAGGCTGCCGTCACGGCTCACTGCAGGCGTGCAGGGGTAGTGTCGGCGCACGCAGGCAGCAGGCGCGCGTGGGCGGGGTGCCCAGCAGGGGTGGGGGAGCGGGCCGCTGCACGGGAATGGCGCCAAGCACAGCACAACCGCAAATGCAGACGCACACACATGCACAGACACATGTCGACAGGGGGCTGCCTGCCGCAGCTCAACCGGTTCCCAAACACAGTCCTGCCAGGCCGTCGGAAAACAGGCCGGCCCACGCCCCACCTGTGTAGGTGACCTGGCAGCAGATGGCGCCCTCGGTGCGCCCGCCGCTCTGCTCCGCCGCCGCCACATCCACGCTGGTGGGCTGCTCCTCTGACAGCCAGTGCGCGCCGCCAACCTGCGGCAGGGTCGGAGAAGAAAGGAGCAGGGAGAAATAAAAAACTGGGCAATCACATGATTGTTTACAATCCTCAAAGTAAACTGGTGCACGCAATGAGCCTGATGAAGCCGGCACGGTGGCAGGCGCCTGGAGCCAGCCCATCGGCGCGCCGCACCTCGCCCACGCCCACCCCCTCCTCCACCGGCGCCGCCGCCGCCTCCTGCTGCTCCCCCGGCCGCAGCACGAAGGAGCAGCGCACGTCCACCCCGCCCGGCTGCTGCTGTTGCTGGGAGGCGGAAAGGGTGACGCTCCCAGGCGCAACCTCGAGCCGGTCCAGCCCCGCGGCTTTCCACCTGCAGGCAGGAAGGTGAGCAGCAGCTGCCGATGGAGCAGGCAAGGCGGCTCGCCCGGTTTGCAGGGGGCATTGGGCAGCATGCAGCGCGAAAGAGCTGGTGCCAGTCGGCACCATGAGGGATAAACCGCCATCCAGCAGGCATGAGGCCAGCCCAACCAGCCACTACGCCCCGGCATCCCACTCCTCTCGCCTCGCCGCATAGCTGCTGCCGCCGCTGCCGCCCTTGTCGTTGTCGGTCGGGGCCCGGAAGACGCAAGGCGCCAGCGGGGCAGCCAGCAGGTGCTCGCCGCCGTCGCTGCCGCCGTTGCTGCCGACCGTCCACCTGGCTAGGGCACCGGTGGCGCCATCGAAATGCAGCCGCCAGCTGATGCCAGCCGTGCCGCCGGATACGGTGATGCCGCTGCCGTCTTGCTGCACCGTCAGCGGCGCTGCCTGCTCCTCCTGCTGCTGCTCCTCCTGCTGCTGCTGGGGATCGCTGGCTGGTGCAGTGCCGCCCGCTGCGCCGCGTGCAGGCAGCAGCCCATCCAGCGGCAGCTGTACCGTAAGTACCTCATGCCCGGCAGCCGCCCACAGGCAGTCGCCGGCCAGCAGCGCCTGCACCTCGAGCTGGGGTTCGGCGGCCTGCTGTGCCTGCTGTGCCAGCTCAGCCCAGCTCACGCCCAGCGCCACGACAGCCTCCCCCTGCGGCGGCAGCGGCCGCGCCGGCGCCAGCGCCCGCCAGCCCTCCCTGCTGCCTGCTGCCGCCACGGGGGCGCCGTCCACCAGCACGCGCCAGCGCAGCGCCAGGTCAGCAGTGTCGCTGAAGTGCTGCTTGTTGCGCAGCCGCAGCCGCGCCTCGCCGGCCGGCTGCCCGTCGCCGCCGCCGCCTGCTGCCGCGGCCAGGCTGACAGCCAGGGGCGCCTGCAGGTGCTTCACTTCGTACGCAGCGGGGTGTGGCATGCGGTCGGGCCACACCAGGCCGTTGCACACAAACTGCAGAAGGACCGGAGGGACACAGGCAAGGGACGGTGTAATAGGTGGGAGCTGGTGCTGTACTTGCAGCGGCTGCTCTGTCGGCGCCTTGTGAGGGACGGCTGTTCAGAGGCACGAGCGACACACATGATGCACATGCCACGGAGCTGTCACAGCAGGCACCGGCAACCAGAGCTCCACTGCCATTCAGCCGACTGCCCGCCTGGGGCTCACCACCCCCGCCCCGTACACGCACCCCGCTCTGCTCGCCCCGCCCCGCTCTCCCCTCCTCCCCCAGGCTGCTGCACGCCTGCCTGGCTGGTGCTGCCCCCCTGCCGCCCCTGCCCGACACCGCCGAGGGCAGCCGGCAGCCAGCCGGCACGCCCACATGCGACAACCCCGGCAGCCCCGAAAGTCAAAGGTGCGCGTGCGTCTGGCGGCAGCGGATGGCTGCCATCACTTGCCGCAAGACGCAGCGTGACATTTGACTTTAGGGGCTCTCGTGGATCAGTCTCATTCTCCCTGCTGGTGCCCCTGCTGCTCCCACGCATGCCCAAAGGCAAGGCCCCGCCAACCCAGACACCCCCACCCGACAGCGGTGCCCATCCCGCACAGCCACCCGGTGCGCCGGGCTGACCCACTGAGCAGCAGCCCAGCTCGCACCGTGGTCCCGCCCAGCGGCAGACCAGGCACCGGTACCGGCCAGGCATCGGCACCGCTCCCCCACCTGGGCATCGTTGGGCGAGTCGCCGTAGTCGCCGCCATACGCCCAGTACCGCCTGGTACCGCCGCTGGGAAGCTGCTCCTCCTTGAGCAGCGCCTGGTCCACCCAGTCCCAGATGAAGCCGCCCTGCAGGTGGGAGGGGCAGGGGTGGAAGAAGCGGTATGAAAGGTGCCACGTCAGCGAAGGCAACAAGCATGGCATCCTTACGCGAGCGCTTTCGAGACGGCTGCGGCCAGTCAAGTCAAGAGGAGTTGCAAAAGAGGAGAAAGACCCCGAAATGGGATGAAATGGGCCTTCCATAGTCGCAGGAACAGGTGTTGCATTGCTGCCAGCTAGGCAATGCTGGTGGCGAAGCCGTCAATCAAGCAAAGAGAGATAAAGTCATTGGTGTTCATCTCTCTTTATGATTGATTGGCTTTACCACCAGCAGGCCCAATTGGCAGCATTGCATCACCTCTTCTTGCGACCGTGGAAAGCACACTTTATCCCATTTCGGGGCCTTTTCTCCTCTTGACTTGACTGGCCGCAGCCGGCTGCCACCAGAGGTCCTTAGACACTGCCTGCCTGCTCTTGCAACCGCAAGAAAGCGCCAGCAGGCCGCGCCGGCCTGTCCAACAGCCCCCAGACCACCATCAGAGTCGGAGCGTCAGGCCAACAGCGGCGACATACACAGCAGCCGGGATACCGGGGTACCGGGCCAGCTCCCTAGGGAGGCCTCCTCCGAGTGTGCCCGCTCACAACTGCAGCACACACTGCTGTGGAGGGCAGTGGAGTGCGGTGCACAGTACCGCACCGCCATCCACTCCACAGGCAACGGGGCTCACAAAGCAAGACGGCTCGCCCGGGTGAAGGGCTGGGCTGCCAGCCCTGCCACACACGACCGAAACAAGGAGACAGTGGGGCAGCCACTTGCTGGCGCCGAAAGCAGCAGTGGAGGGCTGCTGCGGCGGCACCAGATCGGCAACATTGGGAGCCCACATCATTGCGGACCCTTCATATGTCCTCCACTGGGACGGGCGAGCGTGGGGCGGAAGGAACGCAGGCGGAACCAGCTGGCACCCCCTCTAAAGGCGCCAGCAACCCTTTGCCGCCAACCGTGTGGCGCGGTGGCCGGTGGGCCGCCGCGTGCCGGCCTCTTGCGTCAGGCCCTTTGCCACTTGTGGGCGTCAGTGAACCGGCCGCGTGTCTGGGGACCCTGCCCCTTCTAAAGCCAAGCGCATGCAGGGGCCCTTGTTCGGGCCTGGATCCAGCACGCTGCGCTGAGGGCTCCTCAGTTACCGAGCCGAGGTTACCTGGTCACCGAAGCGTCGGCGACGGCTGGACTCGGAGGCATGGTTTCAGAAAGAAATGCGGCCTGCGCCATCGGTTGCGCAGAGGAGGGGGTGGCCGAGGTATCCCCGCCCGCCGCCGATGGCGCAGCCTCCGTTTTTTTCAGAAGCCTGGGCACCGAGGCCAGCCGCCGTCGCCGTTTTGGCGAGCTGGCAACAGCTTTAGGCGCAGCATGCAAGGGGAAGGGTGGTTGGGTGCGAACTATGATGGGAGCCAGAGCGAAACACAGGGGCCCTGCATGCACTCAGCCGAGCGGTACGTGCCGCTGCTAAGCACAACGCCACTGGGGCTCGGAGGGCGGCAAAGTGGGGCTGGGCTGCAGGGGCGCTGCATGCGGGGCTGCCACGCACGTGCCACCCAGTCGCCGCCGCTCCGCCATGCACCGAGGAACGAGCGCTTGTGCGGGCTGGGCTGGCCGCAGCCTGCCAGACAGGCACAAGTGCCGCGCCAGAGGATAGCGCGATGCGATGCGAGCAGGAGTGGAGGGATAGGCGACGGTCGTCCCTTCCAAGCATGCACTGCCGCAGCGCAGGGAAGGGCTGCTGCACCACCGCCCCTGGCTGCCAGTGCTGCCGTGCCTCCCGCGGGATGCCGCCCACCCGCCAAGGCTTGCGTCCGCTGAACGAGG